TTTCAACTTTCAAGATACTTTGATTTATTTCGATAAATATTTTGGAAAAATAATTCTTAAATTTTTTATTCTTTTCATTCTATTTCTGAAACAAATCGAAATGTTTCCAAAACACATCGATACGCTTCTGTTTTTTAGGTGACCAAAGCAATGAACTGAAACAAAAATTTGATCCTTGGTTATAGCCTTTGGGGATCACTGTTATACCCTGTAGCGATCACTATTATAGCCTTTAACGATCTCACAACTACCATAGTTTGTCGTTGACCAAGTGTTCCCTAAAAGAAGTGAAATTATAGATCAACACAATGAAGCTCAAATTAATCAAACTCAAGTTGCTATATAAAACCATATGGTTTTGTAACAATTATTAAAATTTAATACACCACAATCGAAAATGCAAAACAAAGAAAACAATTGAGAAAAGTGGAAGTAAACCAAAGCTCTTACCTTCTTCAATGGTGTAATTAGGCTAAAAGCAAACCATACAACCACTTAGTCTAACCGAGTGCGTGGCCACAACCCTTGTAAATCAATCATAGAAAATTACATAACGCGAGCATCAAAACCCCGTACAATGATACAAAAATCACAATTATAACACTAAACTCACAATAACTGACTCACATATTCACAATGGTAACACCAACACATAAAAAACTTGGAACATAAATCAAACACCATATTCTCAACAATCAACACAAAACTAAAACACCAAATTCATAGTGATAACACAAAATTCACAAAAATAGGATAAAATCAGACAAAATCAAGAACATGTAAACCTAAAACCCAAAACAAACACCAGTCGCTAGCTGTTGAGGAAGGTGCAGTAGATTAACTTTTGGAAAGAAAAAAAGTTATCACCCTAGACTTCTTTGTCGGCCTGTTGGTAGATGTATTACAAAGAATCAAATTAAACACTTAAAAAATTAACATATTTTTAGCTAGATACTAAGAAACCAATCATACAACAATTTTGCAATTCCTTATCCTTGAAGGATTCCACTTCCATTACATAACACCTTATTATATGATTTTCCACCAAACCATCAGCCTTTAGATATCAACCATAAGAATTAGAGTTGTTAAAACAATATCCAGAAAATGGCCAAATCTCACTACTGTTGAGTGTTATAATCAACTTTCACATATATTAGTCTCACCAATGCAGGGTGGTATCTTGGCAGTGAATGAAGTATTTCAAATAAAAAAATTAAGCAAATGAGGGTTTCTCTGTCTCAAGTCCTAAAATAACCTAGCTGATTCTTTTTTTTGTTTTTTGTGTAAATAAGAAACCTAGCTCACTTTGCTTCATCCTAAAGTTGTCAAATGCAAATTGCCAAAGTTAGTAGTTGAAAAGGCATTTATAAGTACATGAAGAGATCACAATACATCAAAATAGCAAAATAAAATGCACCACTGCCAGTCAATACAGTAAGAAAAGCAAAACACTACACTTATTTTCAACAAAGTAAAGCCATTAGCAATAACTCAAATTTATGAACTCAAGGGAACCCAAAAAAAGAAGTCCCATTTGGTTGTTTGGTGGAATTTAGGCATGTGTGACTGAGGACATTGTGTAGCACAAGAAAATCATATATTCAAAAAAATGAAAATCAATTGAATTCTAACAATCTAGAATTTCATGTGCAAGAAACACAGATTCAACAGGCAGTTCCAAATTTTACTCCACATCAGAGAAATATCCCACTTACAAACATAACAGTTCAAGCAGCTGTACCCGAAAAATAAAATTTCACAAATGGAGATTACAAATTAATCTATCATTATTGAACAACTTTACACAGGGCGCACCGTGAAGTGGTGGGGCCAAAGCACAAAACACAATGATGCTGCAAGTGCAGCGACACAATGCACAACCAAAGGTTACGTACGAAGAATTGACAGAGGGGCTTACATTTTGACCTTGAGATTGTAATAAAATCAATGATAACAAATAGTGACCTTGGATGCTTGGAATAATAAAACTTGCAGTTCAAAAAAAATAAAAATAAATAACTAATAAGACTCCCGTTAAAAAATGCTAAAAAAATAAATTCACCAAAATTTTAAAATTTTAAGATCATGCACTTAACTTCTTCATTCTCTAAAACATGAAAGGGAATCTAAACCAGAGAAGACAATGAAGGTAGATATACATGGTCAAATAAAATAATTGACTAAAAGTTAACTCTACTAAATACAATGAAGCACACACAAAGAGGGGCTCACATGTTCAAATACAAAGAAAGCAGTGACAGATGGGCAGGTTCTTTTTATGCCTCCACCGGATTAGTATCAGATTCCAACTTAAATAAGCCAATAGGATCAACAATAGTTTTTGTGGTAATTCAATGCATAAACAACAAAAAATAAAAAAACCACCATAATATCTTAAAAGGTAATAGTGAATTCCCATCTACGACAGTTGTACATTTAGAAAAGAGTTTTCCTTATCAAGGTGATAAGTTGAAGGTCTGCAATAAATCAAACCCCGTTCACTAAAAATAAGAGTTTACCTTCTCAAGGTCATAAGTTGAAAGTCTACAATAGATCAAACCCCATTCACTGAGAATATGAACTTCAGTGAAAGTTGCAGATTTCATAGAAAGTATATTATTTCTAAAAAAATATACTTCTTGTTATAAACTACCATAAAAAAATGCAGCAAGTAAAAAACAATAGTAAAAGAACTTTCAAACTGAAAATGTATATAGGAGATACTCACCTTTCCCCANTAACTGAGAATATGAACTTCAGTGAAAGTTGCAGATTTCATAGAAAGTATATTATTTCTAAACAAATATACTTCTTGTTATAAACTACCATAAAAAAATGCAGCAAGTAAAAAACTATAGTAAAAGAACTTTCAAACTGAAAATGTATATAGGAGATACTCACCTTTCCCCAGTCCATTTCCAAGGCTTAAATTCCAAGCTGCCAAGTGCAGCATTAGTTCAATACCTGAAGTTCCCACCTGAGGAAACGACTCAAATTGAGTCTTTATTGCATACTTAAAATGTAAGGTTAAGAAAAAAAAGAAATCAAGTACTACATACCCTAGTAGACCAAGTTCAGGAGCTGCGTTGTATTGGTCAGGGATCTGTATTAGTGCAGCGAGAGCAAATCCAGAGGTAGTTGCTTCTTTCGACATAATAGCAGTAAAGTTATCGGATTGTACACAAACAAACAACCAAAGGGAACGGCACTGTGTAGAAAATAATAATATTTGAATTGAACCACTTGGTTAAGTGCAAAAGATTTAATAAAAAGAGAGCCATACCATTGAACTGATGGACAAATCCCATAACAGAGAGCTAAAGAAAGGTTTTGAAGATTGAATATTTTACCCCTAACCCCAACACATAAAATCGCCATAAGCACCACTGCAAGAGACACAATTGGCTTCTAGGGTTTGCTTGACATAAAAACAGAGGGATGAATGATTTGAGTGAATGGAGATTTGTAGATTCTGGCAATAGGTGGTGTGGATAGATCTGGAGGCGTGCCTGATCGTCGTAGAGGCGTTGGGGTTTGGGCGGTGGTGGCTGTGAGTGTGTGACTGTGTGTGCGTGACTATGAATTGGTATGTGTGTATATGTGTGAAAATTTGTGTGTGCATCATGTTGTGTGCTTAGTCAGGATTAAACAGAACAATGACCATTATGGTCATTCATGTGCACTTGGTCGAACAATTGGTGAGTGTGACCCAATTGGGGCTGTGGAGATGGAAGGAGAATAGAGAGAGTGGGATGGTGAGAGATAGAGAAGGAAAGAGAGGAGGAAGAGAGAGAGAGAAACCTGCTAGGGTGGTGATGGTGGGCGGGATGTCGATGGCGGTGGCGCTGGATGTGTTTGTGTATGACTGTGAGTGAGTTGTTGTGCGTGTGTAATGTGTGTGTGCTATGAGTGTGCAGTGTTGTGTGTGTTCTGCGTGTGTTGTGTGCATTTGTGTGTGTTTGTGTGGAAAATTGAAAGCAGAGAGAGAAAGAGAGAGAGAGAGATGAAGACAGAGGGAGGGAGGAAGAGAGGGACTGGGACTGTGTTGCCAGTAATGGATCTCTCGGTGGTCGGTTGTTTGGATGCGTCCATAGTGAGAGAGAGAGACTAAATGAGGAGAGAGCGGCAGCTTGAGATAAGTTAAAGTCACGTTGTCCGTCAGAATGAGGCTTTTGTTTTATATTGAAACGATCTGAGCCGTTTTTTGTCTTAGAATTCAAAATTTGCTCTACTTTATTATATAGATATAGATTATTTTTTTCCTTAGAAAAACGTGTTGAAACATTGTAACATTATTATTAAGGGAAACCTATTTTTCTGTAATGATCATCTTTACGATTGATTTTTTTTTTTCAATAGACTAAAATATATTTTGTTATGAGTTCTTAAATTGCTTGTAATCTCTTGTTCAACATTAAAAACTATGCTTCTTTTTTTTTGGCAAAAGAAACATTTTCCTTTAGCAACGTGATTACACCAGTGGTTTTATCATGTGTGTCTGTGCAGCACGTGTGAGAGAGAGAGAAAAAGAGGGGGGGTGGGGAGTTTACTTGGAATTCAGGAAGGCTAGAAGAAATGTATGTGGGTCACTGTTGTCAGTGGTGGGTGCCACGACAAAGAAGACGGAGATAAAAAGAGAGGCCGGGAGAGAAAAGGTTGGTTGTTTGTCGCTGAGCATTTGAGATAGAGGGAGAGGGAGAAAAGAGAAGAGGAAGGTGAGTGGGAGCTATCCTTAAAGAACAACTCGAGTGGTAATAAGGATAAGCCGTAAAAGTGTCATAAGTTTAAATTTTGATAATTCTTGAGGTAAAGACGTCATAAGTTTAAATTTTGATAATTTTTTAGGNATAGGAGAAAAGGAAAAACTGAAAAAAAATCCTTACCTCCCACCCATCGCCATTACAATTGATATTGGTGTATCCTTATATGTGAAGGCTATATTCTTGTTGACCTTACTACTCTAAAAGCTTTGAATTTCTTTTACGGATAAATAATTGATGTATGATGTAAGCTTATTGTATCTTGACTCTATTTAAAACAGGCAAATCCTCCTCAGTTGCATTCCAACCTAAAGTTCATTGCATTGTATCGGAGGCAGGCAAAATTCGTCTCGGAAGAAGCTTATTATTTCACAAACCTTGTATCTGCCAAGTCATTTATATATGACTTGGATGCCAAGTCCCTTTCTATTGATGACACTGAATTTCAGGAGAGCATGCAAGCTGCTAGATTGGCCAGTAGAGGGGCACAAATCGAACCCTCACTTGCATTGGATGAGAACGCAGCTTTAACAGTTCCTTCAACAAGAATGCATAAATTGAAACAAATAGGACTCGCACCCAAATTGGATGAGATAGCAGTCCTACTTGGGCAGGCTGACTCTGAGCCCTCAGTGAGAATGCATGAAAAAGAAACCTGCAATACTGGTCAGCACAATTGGCGACATACTCTTTTGTCATTTAAATATAAATTTTCTTATGGACCCATTTTACTTGACGAAACATGCATTAATTAACATTTATGTATATGTGAGGAATTTCCTGGATCTATTTCACAGATTATTGCATCTTAAAATATCATCGCAGCTGCTTTATTACACGTGTTTAACTAGTGCATATGGAACTGCCTGGATGACAACAGATTGGTCGAGCTATCCTTTTATGGAAGCAGAGGCTGGTGAACTGACTGTTGGAGATGTGGAGAGATTGCTGAGTTTGTACAAGGATGTGGTGAAAAAGTATACAAACCTCTGCAGAGCTTTTGGACAATTTCCTATCTCCCAAATAGAAAAAATCAACCTTAATTTGGAAGGATATAGTGTCCTAGCACAACCTGAAGAACAAAAAGTAGATGAGAAAAAAGGAGAATGAAGAACTGCAATCAATTTGTAAGTACTCTATCTTCCATATTATAGTTTGCTGTAACATCCCTGATTTGCTATATGAAAACAAATAATGATATTCAAAAGCCTGCTAACCAGAATACAAATATCCAAGAGTTGGATGGCAATCTTCTTGTGCAATTCAGATTCTCGATTAATTTCTTCTATGTTCATTCAAGTTTCTATATAATACCTATACATGTGTGTTTGTGTGTGTGAATGAGAGAGAGAGAGAGCTGACAGTTCCCTCACTAAAATTAAAAAAAAAAAATATATATATATATATATATATATAGTTAATGAACACCAAGCTAGACCTTAGCCTATTGCCACTAGTTGTTTTTACTTTTTCTCAACAAGCCCCAGACGTCATAACCTTCTTAGCATGTTCATTGGCCTGAGCATCCTTGTTCAGTTTTTTGTCAAAGGACTCTAAATATCTCGTGCAGACAAACTTTGCAGGAACTGCTTCATGGCTGTCGATCCCCACACACCTTGTGTGCTGCCAAACACCCCATGTGTTGCAAGCTTACATTCTTTCATCATCATCGTCCTTAGCACCACACATGCAATCCACCGTCCAGTTCTCAGTATGCCTCCATTCTATATCGATTGAGCCCATGTGTTCCAAGACATCTTCCTTGAAGTCGGACCGAACCTCTTGATCCAACTATAGTTTCAGAGTCATGAAATCATCTAATGGACCATAGTCGAGCATTTCATAAGCTTCAAACCTCTTAAACATGGCATACACTTCTTGAAAAGCTTTGGTAGCTTCAAGTTTTAGGCCAGCAATGGCAGCATTTTCTGGTAGGATCATAAGTTATGGCCGGATCATCTTGGGTTGATCAGCAAGTTCCAAATAACGCCAGAGATAAATTGCAAATGGGTTCTAACTATCATCTTGTAAGGCTTGTAGTCCTCACAAATTGCTTGTGGTCGAGGAGTTTGGTAGCCGAATCGATCGCAAGTTCTCTCATTTAGGTTTTTTGAGGTTTGCCAATGGAGTCATATAAAAATTTCAAATCACGAATTAGGTGCTCATTTGTTGGGTGCAATCCACTTGCATTGCCTAATGGTTCAAGCCTTTGAAACATAAAAAAACAAGAAAAGAAATTAGCAACCTTGATGATAAATAGTAAAAACGGGAAAAACTAGAGAACTAATGCTGTCAGCGTCATTTACCTGCATTCAACAGTTACAGTAGTGGGATTGCAACGGGGATTAATTACCATGCCATTAGCTGCCACCTTGCCTCCCATGTCTTTCAGGCAGCAGTGAAGAAGCTCTGGTGAGCCTGCCTAGCACAAAGCACCCTTAAGAGCACACCGTGATACCCACCCAGCTGGCTTCACCAGATGCTGTCAACAGCACTTTAACCTTAGCTTGTCCTAAATGTTGAACATCATTCACTGTCCAAGCACATAGGACATTTGTAGTGCTGGACCTCGACTTCTCATACACTCCAGGTGTAGATGATCTGTGGATTTCATAAATCAGTTTTAACATAAAGGAGAAGAGGTCCCTCGCCGTTAGAAGTTCATTCTCTGAGATGGATTGGTAGAATGAAACTACATCCTGTAGATGAGTCCATTGTCTACCGCGTTGATAGGAGAAGATGGATAACTTCTTTTTTTTTTAAGCATCTTCCATATCTGCAAAGCTCCCTGCGCCAAATTTGTATCCCCAGTCACCGTACAAGGTATATGCCCACTGCTAATTGTATATAATAGTTAGTTTTTTGCCCCCAATTTTTTTTGACACTACCATCACACATCTTCCTGTTGGACAAAATTCTGTGTTTAACTTAGGATCCGGTATGAATAATATGGTTTCATCAAACACAAGATGCGGGTGTGTGCAAAATTTTTAGGGTATAAACAAATTAAAAAAAAATGAGAACACGAGTAATTTGTTGATGCGAAACCTCTCCTCCGGAAAAATTGTGGGGAACCACTCGGGGATCACCAAACTTGATACACTAACTCAAAATTAGTTTACAAGTACATGAAATTTATACCTCAACCGATATTATAGTTAAACGTTTATTTCTTTCAATAAATTTTTTATCTCGATTTCCCCACCGAAGTTATGAGCAACTTTACTTGAATGCCTTCACCTCAATGTATCGTTTAGGTTCTGCAGACGACCTTCTCCACGAAGATCATCAGGATGTACACTTGTTCAATGGGTTTTGTGATTCCAAACTAGAACCTCTTCTTCAAGGTGTGATGTTGAATGAAGATTCAAGATGTATGGCTTAGGTTCTTAGGGATCTAGGGTTTATAGTTGATCTCTAAATGTTTGAAAGGCTGGAAATGACCTAACAAGAGAGATATCGTAGCTCTAGAAAGCTTCCCTTATTATTTGTAGGCTAGGAATTAGATAAGACTTGGAGGCCAAATAAACCAAAATTTGCGAACGAACGCTCGAGCAATGACAGTAGAGGGTGGTCCCTATTAGTTTGAAGTTGAAAATCAAGCAAATTTTTTTAACTCTTGAGTATTAAAGAATGTTGCTTAAATAGGGTTTGATAAATGATTCAAACTATATTTTCAAAACACATTTAAGGTTTAGAAAAATATTTTCAATAAAAACTCTAATAGTCATTTCCGAATATTTTAAATTTCATTTTGTTCACCTTAATCATCTAAGTCTAAAATTAAACTAAGGGATCAATGTCTTTAAGGTCATTACCTTTGTCTTAAACTTGAAGGTGCATCGAAATGATCTTGATATGACATTGTAGCTTGATCTCCTTCTCTTCCTTGTGTGACTCTCCAAAATCTGAGAGTCATTTTTCAACTCATTGATCACCTATCAACCCACGGAATATTTGTGAATATCTTATAACCCGATACCACATCGTTACATCCCCTTCACTGGGATCATAGCAAAATGGAATCCAGGCAGAGTCTCCTTTGCACGGGAGCTCTACCCAACACTTAATCTATTCACTTATTAATCATATGATCATTCAAAGGTCCAAACCCAAATCTAAGACTTAGAATTTGACCATTTACATCATCAATGGAAACAACTCAAGATAAAAAGGCTTAGAAATGTTACAGTTAAAATTTCAATATTTGGGAACAGATACTAGTACCTCAGATAAGTGGTACCGGTACTTGAGCCCTCTAGTTTTTTTGGTACCGGTACTTGTAAGACTTGGTATTAATACCTGGGCCTCCGACAGCGAGGTACCAGTACCTATGAGCCTAGGTACCAATACCTGAGTCCATTGTTATCGGGGTACTGGAACCTGTGAGCCTAGGTACCGATACTGAGCTCTTTGGATGCCAAGTACCTGTGAGGTACCAGTATCTAGAGCCCAAATTTTCCTCAAACTCCACAGAACCAACTTTTACCCCAATAAACTCATAAAACACCAATTACATTCATTTGTTTTATAAAAGAATAATGTCACATTACATGCCTTTGTCAAAATATAAGCTTTATACATATTTTTCATAAGGCCAAAACAAAGTTATACATAGGGTTACAACATATAATTTAAGAGCCACAATCCAGCTTTGTTGTCAACACGGGCTTGAATGAGGGTTACCCACTGGAGCTTGTCCAACACCTAAAATATATTTTCATAAAGAGTGAGTCACGTTCAATAATGTATCTCTTAAGGAAATTACTTCCCAACCTAGATGCATATGAAATTTCACTTGCAAGTCATCACATCAAACATCCATTCAAATACATGCATTTTATAAATGAATGTTACTATTTCATGTCATGTCATGAGATGAAACTAACGCACATAATACAAATTCAAGCCCTCCACCGACTCCTATAACACATGTCATGCCATTATCCGGGTGTTCCAAGTCCCTGCTATTGATATAAAAAATTCAATTACCAATCATAAAAGTTTGTGTCTTTTTGGGTGGGTAATTTATGGACATCACACCAAGGTACTATTGAATCCACCCGACATTCGAGGGCATATCACCTTAGGTTCGAAGTACACATACACATTTTTCTAGAATTTCACCACAGGTAAGTGAGTGAACCACGAAACCGGGTCTTGCACCCGAGAGAGAATCTATCATTTCTTGCTACACCCGACGTGTTTTTGCAATACAACCCATGCGACTCAGTCAAACTTAGGTCCAACCTTCCCGTGCCCACGTATCAACCACCAAAGATGGTGTTTGATAAAAAAATATGTACACACACCCACACCAGCATATACAAATGTAATGTACAATCATATTTCTTATCATTATGCAATTAAATTGTATAATTGCAATTTATATTACATGCTTATCATATCAGAAGACATATAATGAACATATCTATTTTCTACAAACATATTATACGAGAAATAAATCTAATTAACATGCTTGAATTCATAAGTATTTTATCAAACACTTAATAGGCAAAAATATGTAAACACATAGCATGCCAAACTATTCATTTCATGAAATCCAAACCAAACAATTTCATCACACCCAAATCATGTAAGAATTGGTTTAAATATACTCTTATGCTCATTTTTCATATTCTAGCTACATTAGATGCGTGCTATACATGAGTATTCGTCTCTAATTATCCTACCCATTTTATATACGACTCTATGTTGAAAATAAACCTAGTTAGGAGGAAGCCCTACCTCTTGTAGAGTATGATCACGTAATAGAAGTCCCAAAGATCCCAAATCAAGCCTCCCAAGTTTGATCCCAAAAATTTCGTCTTTGAAATTTTGAAGAAAATCACGATTGTTGGTATGGTTTCATAGGTCTCTTCGCGTAGAATGACTTCAATTCTCTGCCCGAAGCGATCCGACGATTAGATTATGTCGCGAAGTGGGAGAGCTTTTTCTCCTCTCTCTCTCTTTCTCTTCCGAAAAATGCAAGGTAAAGAATGGGAAAAAATATAATTTTTTCCCCTTTAAATACCTTTTGAGCACTTGGCTCACAATACGCCACACATCCCTCTTCGATTGGTTCAATTTTATACCGAATTGGTTAAATCTCGTTCCATGTTAAGTTTATTGTATTTTTATTGAATTCACTTTAAATTATTTTTCGGGTTCCAATAATAAAATCTGATCACGTTTATTTTAGTCGCGCAATGCTGATCACATCATAAAATGCGAAAAATTCGACTGTCTCAGAATTTGACGAAAATTGACTAGATAGTTAGATTTTGCGATACAAATCCAACAATAAGGTCTGTTTTATCATCCGAGTTCTAGAAAACTTCAAATTTTTAACCCGTATTATAACATCTAATTACTGTTTTGCCCCTTTTTAATAAATCTTTAATTTTCCTGGGTTTTACACCTTGTCTCTTACGGATCTTGATCTTTGAAGCTTGATGACCATGATATTCGATTGATATTACATAAGACTTCACGAAATTAGTCAATTACAAACATGATCCTAACAGGGTCATTCTAACCTACAACAACTTCCTCAAGACATTCCTTGTTTGAATTCTTCTGTTTATGTTAGAATGTGAGATTGGTCAATTAAACATGCATCATCGTAGTTCTTTTTCTGCTAATGGTACGAGTCGTCAGTCTAGTCCATTTGCTATTGTTTCCTTTTAACATTTGGGGTTCTACAAGAATAAAAAGCTTTTCTGGATTTCATTATTTATGGGCTTTGTTGATAATTATTCTCTTATGACTTAATTGTTTCTTATGAAGGATCGTTCTAAATTAGCTAAAATCTCACGTTTTATAATAAAAATGCGGTACAGTTTGTAAACGCCTTAAGATATTTCGTCCTAATAATACTCTTGAGTTTGTACAATGATTTATGCATATATTTTGTATTGGTTATGATATCTTTCATTAGACTACATGCCCACATATGTCTCAACAAAATGGTATTTGTGGGACGTAAACATTGTCATTATTAGATGTTAATCGTACTCTCATGTTTAACATTCATGTACCATATGGGGCAAATTTTGTTCTCATTGCAGTTTATCTTATTAATCGGATAACCTCCTCCATCTTACATAACAAATATTCGTTTTCATTGTTTTATCATAATACATCATCCTTTGGTCTAACTCTTTATGTTTGGTTGTATTACATTTGTTCAGTTTCTTGATCAAGGTCAGAATAAACTTTCACCACACTCAGTTAAGTGTGTCTTCCTATGATACTCTCATACTTAAAAAGTTATCATTGTTGTGACCTTGTCTCCTACCGTTATTATGTTAGTGTCAATATTACTTTTTTTTTGAGTTCTCTTTTTTTTTCCTACTTCAAAAAATACAATTTCCCCATATTTAATCTCTACTACTTAGAGAGAGTTCATGTTGCCTCGTGTACTAGAATGTATATTTTCTCCCTCTCCAATGACCCCCAATTGCAAGTTCCTCGGCCAACACTTGATTCTATTGAGGTCCTTCTTGAGCCATCTGTTGTATCACCCTCTTCCAATTTTCCTATTGCATTTCAGAAAGATAGTCGTACTTTTACCTAACATCTTTTTTTAATTTTTGTCTACTTGCATCAATTTCTCTCATCCTTTCGT